GATTGAACAAGGTATCGGGATACCGACGATCGAATCTCGGGAAAGTATCGTACCGATGGACAAAGGGAATTGTATACGGGATTGATTGAATCCTTGACATCGTGGTTCATCTGATGAGATCATCGTGGAACATGTGGGAGCCAACATGGGTATCCAGATCCTGCTGTTGGTTATTGACCGGAGAGTTGTCTCGGCCATGTCTGCATGACTCCCGAACCCGTAGGGTCTACACACTTAAGGTTCGATGACGCTAGGTTTATAGGGAAAGTATGTACGCGGTTACCGAATGTTGTTCGGAGTCCCGGATGAGATCCCGGACGTCACGAGGAGTTCCAGAATGGTCCGGAGGTAAAGATTAATATATAGGAAGTATGGTTTTGGCCACCGGAAGTGTTCCGGGCATCACCGGTAGTGTACCGGGACCACCGGAGGGGTCCGGGGGTCCACCAGGTGGGGCCACCAGCCCCGAAGGCCTACATGGGCCAATAGTGGGAAGGGACCAGCCCCTAGGTGGGCTGGGGCGCCTCCCACCAAGGCCCAAGGCGCCTCCAAGAGGGGAGGGGGGCAAACCCTAGGGCAGATGGGCCCTAAGGCCCACCTCAGGTGCGCCTCCCCCTCTCCCCCTTGTGGCCGCCACCTTAGATGGGATCTAGGGCTGCCGCCACCCCTAGGGAGGAAACCCTAGGTGGGGGCGCAGCCCTCCCTCTCCCCCTATATATAGTGGAGGCAAAGGGGCAGCCCAACACATGAAGTTCCTTCCCTGTTGGCGCAGCCCTACCCCTCTCCCTCCTCGTCTCTCGTAGTGCTTGGCGAAGCCCTGCTGGAGTCCCGCACTCCTCCACCACCACCACGCCGTCGTGCTGCTGCTGGATGGAGTCTTCCCCAACCTCTCCTTATCCCCTTGCTGGATCAAGGCGTAGGAGACGTCACCGGGCTGTACGTGTGTTGAACGCGGAGTTGCCGTCCGTTCGGCACTAGGATCATCGGTGATTTGGATCACGACGAGTACGACTCCATCAACCCCGTTCACTTGAACGCTTCCGCTTAGCGATCTACAAGGGTATGTAGATGCACTCTCCTTCCTCTCATTGCTAGATTACTCCATAGATTGACCTTGGTGATGCGTAAAAAAATTTAAATTTCTGCTACAATCCCCAACAACGCTGCCCTCAAACTCTGCGGCCGTTGTCCTCATCGGCGGACGGCTCAATGAAGTCGGAGATCGTCATCTCCTCCGGCGACGAGGAAGACTAGTCGACGCAGCACCAATCTGCACCGGCGACGTAGGGCTAGGTGTACACCGCCACGGAGGAGTACAAGCAGGAGATAGACCTGATGCTCTGTCGCTCCGTCCTCCACCTGAACAACCCGGTGGCGCCATCCGGGACACTCTTCCCCGTGAAGCCAGAGCTTGCATCCTCTCCGCACTCTCCACACTGCCGCGTCCAAATTGGGGGTCGCGTGAAGGAGGAGCCCCTCTCGCCGCCCCTCCGGCACATGAAGGAGGAGATGCTCTCTCCGTCGCCCCGGCGCGTGAAGGGGGAGCGGCGCTCTCCGCCGCCCGTGCCCAATGCGATCGCCGCGAAGGCGCGTGGTCGCATTCGCCACTATCTCGATGGTGGCGGCTCTTCGTCCTCCTAAAGCGCTCTAATGGCACAGGGGTACGCCAACAGGGAGCGGCTCCGGCGGGACAGGCACAACATGGCGTGCCAGTTGGAGTTCGCGGACTCCGACATTCCACCGCCACACATCGCGGCGGGCCCGGAGATGGCGTACGTCTGGCCCTGGACCGCTCCGTCACGACAGCAGAGACTAGCAAGTGTCGTCTCCGCCGCCTCAACGGGGAAATAGCCAAGTACTGTGAGGAATGGTCTCTCAGTGAGATCGTCGTCGCGGCCGGGCCATCGAGCTGATGCCGGAAAGCCATCCGTCGCTGCCGCAACCGGCCCGCCGAGCTGCCGTGATGCCGGCTCGGTGAATGGAAGGCTCCACACCGAGAGAGCCGAGCCACCTCGCCACCGCCGCCCACAGCCGGAGCAGCGGCCATGTCGAGCCGATGCCCCAACCCGCGCCACCCAATGAAAAATTGCGTCAGATTCGTCCATCACGCTCCGCCACCTCCACCGCCGCAACGCGCCACCCCCACCAGTAGGCCATGGCAAAGGCAGCAGCCCATGACCCGCACCGCGCTGCCCTCGTCGCCCGTGGGGAACGGGGCAGAGATCCGGAGCAGACTCCCGCCATCACAATGCACATGCCCTCCCACCACACAGCCAACCACGCCACCGCCGAGCCCACGCCGCCGCCGCCTGCACTCTGCCGACCGGAGCTACCGCCGCGGCGTCGGCAGGCCCCGCGCACGCCTGACGCCTCCGACGGGCAGGCCGCCCGCGCTGCCCCGCAACCGTGCGAAAGAGGAAGGGGCCCCCGCCGCCAGCCACCACCAAGGGCTTTGCCCGGGCAGCGATGGGGAGAAGGGAGAGGAAGGGGGCTACGTACGGGGGGTGCCGGCACCGCCCGAGCCGTGGGGGGGGAGGCGGGGGCGAGAGGATCAATGTGAAGGATTTGCCCTTCGTCTTTTGGTACAGCTCGGTAGTGCGTCCTGCCTATACAATGACGTGATCATTAAGTTGTAACAACGAATCAATGAATTGATCAACATGTAAAGCAACAAGCAGCAAAACTTACGAACTCCATGATTAACGTGCCCGATGGCCACCTTCTTTTCACTTGCGCAATCGCATTGCAATATTTCATGGAGGCTTTTCTTTTAACTGGTCACGGGGGCTTTTAAAATGGTGTACCACCGCGATACTCGAGTTGTCTGCCTGCCACCTAGAGGAAATTAGCTCATCTCACCTGTCAGTGACAAAGTCCATATGGTTTGTCTACTGACGTTGTTGCTCTTTTGATGTGTGATGCAGATACAGCGGAAGGATCGAGGAGCAGCGTAAGAGGCTGCAGAAGATGTTCGAGGACCAGCTCAAGGCCAGCGGCAACACCGCGTCAGCCGCGTACCCTGTCGTCGTCCTCTTCCTGCCGCCGCCGGCGACGGCGCCGAGCGAGCAAGAGGACAACGCCGTGTTTGTCGACGTCATCGACGAGGTGCAGGTTTTAGTGATCTTGGCTTTTGATTTGGGAAATGTTGCTGCCGTTGTAGTTTTCTCTTTCTTTTTTACGGTGGTGCTGCTGTAGGTTTCGATGTTTATCAACGACAATGCCTGTGTGCATTAATCGATGCAGAGGTCAGGCTCTTCCTCATTGTCCGAGCAAGAGGAGAACACCGTGTTCGTCGACGTCATCAATGATGACAGTGATGACGTGCAGGTCATCTCTGTCGCCAGCGCCAGCTACGACCTCGAGCTAGCCTTGTGAAAAATTGTACTCTCTCCATTCTAAATTACTTGTCGCAGGTATGGATGTATCTAGATGTATTTTGTTCTAAATACATCCATTTCTGCGACGAGTAATTTGGAACGAAGGGAGTAGTGATCTAGGGCTTTTGATTTGATCCGACAAGTGTTGATGTTGTAGTTTTCGATGAATATTATACATTAACGATGGTTGGCCGTGTGCATTGATCGATGCAGAGGCCAGAGTATTCTTTTTTTTCGAGGTCGATAGAGTAATAAATCATGTCTGTTTTTCACTAGTTCATCGAAGGCTCTTTGTCAGTGGAAACCCACGCGTTTCTGAACGATTCTCTGTTGTTGTCTCGTCAGAGTTGTACTCCCTCTGTAAACTAATATAAGAGCGTTTAGCATACTACTTTAGTATTCTAAACACTCTTATATTAGTTTACGGAGGGAGTAGTAAATTAAAACTCAAACAGGAATGCACGACCTGTTTTAGCAAGGGCTTATTTTGGTTCGGTTCAGTTAGGTGAGGTGTCAGCTCAGTTAACAAACGCAAGCAGCACCTCTAGGTCAAGTGACAGTATTGTAAACTGTGAGGACCCGTGGAAACTCCGCCTGGCGTCAGAGAGGAGGATTATAATGGGGAGAAAATGCATAGCGAACACAAAAATAAATTGGATTGTCTGCTTGACGTCCCCCGTTCAGTTCCATTTTTATGGTGAACCTGCTTTGTCAACATGTACTACTAGTTTAGTTAGCTCATCACAGTATCGCTAGTACTTCTTTTGTAAACTAAATAGTGATCTAAACACTCTTATATTAGTTTACGAAGGAGGTACTATTTACTCACTGTTTGTTTTTATAAGACGTTTTAGAGAGCTTGCTTTCTACTACTATTTTGAACAGTGTAATGTCTAAAACGTCTTATATAAGTGAACAGAGGTAATATTATCTTGACAGAGCACGAGCCGCTGCTACACCGAGGCTTTCTGCAAGGAAAAGATGCCCCGGCTTTTCCATCTTATTTTGGGGAACTACAGCCTACAGGTGCCTTTCCAAAAAATAAGTGTAGAGGTTATCTGTTGTGCAGCAATTCCCCAAGTAATGCAAACACAAGGGATTTAACATACGAATGCAGTGACCATGGAAGGCCCAACGAGAACCTCAGCATAAACCTTTCATCAGAAAACTAAAATTCAATTCAATCTGGCACTCAGATATAAAGCATAACTTTACATAGTCAGTAAAGACACTTTGACACTCAGAAACTAAAGCTAACAACAACTCAGTGCGAGTTACACCAACCAAATACTGGGCGGCAGCCAATACACACACATGGCAAGTTACAGGCTACCACAAATAATCTGACTTTTGTCTGACGCAGTCCATAATCCGGAACGCCGGGGAGATACACAAGCTACGCTGTCCATTTTGTAAGAACACCATTTCTGTAAAGTTAGGCCTATCTGGCACCGCTGCGATCCTACATCTGCATGGACGGCGAGCAGAGCAGGGCAAAACAAGGTTAGTCAGTGCATCGGTAGGAGGCATATCCATGTATCTACTTGCAGTGATTTCAGTAGCTGATGTACACTGGATAGAGGAAAAAAACAGTGAATGTTCTAACCAGTTAATGAGGATATGCTATGTCCTTTGGATGAAATGGTGAGCAAGCAAGTCTGATAATCCTGAAGCTGGAATGCTCTCGCAGCCGAACAGCTCTTGCAGACTGGAATCACATAGTATTGATGCACTCGCAGGATCCTGTGCACAATCAAACAGAACATGAATGGATCTCATGCGTCTCAATGGGGCTGGACAGCATGTCCCAGTTAACAAATAATTAAAATTCTCAGGAATGGCATCATCAGGAGGTGAAAGGACATGGAGGTATGATTGGCAAACATTTCCCGACACTACTTTACAGAGAAGTGCATGCTCAAAATCAATGTAGAAATTCGGCTGCTATTCTGAAACCGACCTCTTAATGCAACAATTGTTTTCTGTATTTGGAAACTGCTAGCATTATAAATGCGTGTATCTGAGATGGATACAGTTCCAAACCACAATCCACATTCTAGGATAAAACAATCACTACAATATATCATGAAGCATTCAAGAGTCTTACTGTAGGAAGAACACATCCAAAATGGTCTTCAAAAGACAATGCGGCTTAAATTCTTTCCAAAGACACGGTAGTAAACATGACACACAGCTACTGCAGCATAACAGACACCTATATCTCAATGATTCTCTACCAAATTGAGGAAAGATGTGAGTTTAGATTATTCATCAGTCTTTACTACTGTTACTCCTGGCAGTAGTGTTTCAACGCATTGGATTTTTCAGCAATCATTCAGTACGTATCCGCAAGCAAAGAACAAACTGGAATCCTGCAAGTAAAAGAAAGGTTAAGGCACATCCATACCTCAAGCTGATTTGCTTTTATGTAATCCCAAAGGTACTTGAGGGCATCATCATGAGGCACCGTTCCTTCTACACCAAGGAATTTGGCTAGCGCATCAGAAACAACCACATAGGGCTGATTTTGATTTATAGTAGGCATTTGTTGAGGAGCTGGAGTGGCAGCCTTAATCTTTTTTGCTTCCGAAGGTTGATCTTCTGCAGTATCAAAATAATGTATTTGAGAATTCTTAATAGTAAATTCAGATGTATATTAGCAGGCAGATATAGATAAAAGGAAACAAAAACACGTACTTGGGTCAAGAGGAGTTATGTGCTTGGCCAACAATTTGTTCATCTTAAACATGTCAGTGGAGTCGGTTCCAAAAACAATACGAAGTTCATCATTGCATATAATCTTCCTTTTGTCATCAGGATCCTGAAGATTATTCTGCCTGATATATGCCCATAACTGCTTCACAATCTGAATGAAGAATAGAGTTCAGAAGTGAACAATTTGAGTTAATCAAGGGGAAGAAATCTGATCTAGTGAATGAAGATATTGAAAGTACCTGAGTTCTTGACATGGCAGTCTCGCCAACAACAGTCTGAAGTTCAGGTGAAATTGCACAAACCTTGTTTAAGCCACCAGGCCCACCTCTCTTTCTCTTGGAGGCACTGGAAGAAATTATAAACATATCACAACGATTGGTATACATAGATGACTTAATTCCATAATTAGTACTATGCGTTGGCCCGTATAACGTAACAAAATTTAAGTGTTGAACATGGGTGCATGAACTACATGAAAATACAACAGTTCAGTGTTGAGGCAAAATATACTCTTGAAGCCTGATGAACTAAAGAAGGTCCATTAGCACAATACTATGACTCAAAAGGTATAATTAACACTTCCTATGTACCAAATCAGCCAGAAAATGATAATTCGGCATACAAATGCACAGAATAAATTTAGAGGACACTAGTCGACTGGTTGGGACTATTTCCTCAAAAGCAGGGTAGGCAGAAGACAAGAGTCAACACAGACAAAGAAACGGGTTGCTCACAAAAGCTGAAGGAGGTTACGATTCCACAAGTACGGCATGTACGGCTTAAGCTCTAGTTTGTACATTCTGGCATAACAGCTGTCCTGAACTTCATTGCGTATCAAATAAATTCATAACGGAAATGTGCGCCTTTTAAAATAAAAAGGTTAGCTTTTATGACGCTCAACATATTGGATGCAACCAATGAAGCTAACCATGCCAAACTACCTTCCTGGTTGACGAGTCCAATTAAAGTGGCGGAAATGGACAAAGAACAAAACTACAAATGAACGGTCACTAAGCGAATCAGCCGTTACGAGTGGCGAAAAAACGGATAATGATATCCTAAGCACCACACTACTGGAGTCCATAGCAAACGACGTTACGTAGTTGGGCCCAACAAAGTTGCCATATTGAACCCCTAAACCCTAAGCCTACGGCCGCTATTAGGTGCCATTTCATGAATCCAGATGAACACAATCAGCTCAACCTTCAATCCACACAATTAGCAACAGTAATCACATGAATCGACCAGCTAAATGTCCAACCACCTAAATTTCAGTGCCAAAAGGTAGGTAGTTGCAGTGTGTCAAGCAACTGAATCTAGGGAACAAACCCTAATTGTTATCCATGGCTCACCTCTCCTTGTTGTCACTGACGGCCTGTGGCGCAGCTGTGGGGGGAGTGATGGCCCCGGCCCCAGGGGCCGGCTGCTGGAAGGAGACGGTCCCACCAGTGGCGACCCCGCCGAGGGCGTTGGTGTAGCGGAAGGCGAGGGGCGGCGGCGGGTAGAAGGCCATGGCCGGCACGGCCGGCGGCGGCGCGGAGACCGCGGCGGCGCCTCCTCCTGAGACGACGGGCGGGAGCTGGGGCATGGTCTGGAAGATGAACTGCGGCTGAATCGCCGCGAACTGCTGCTGCTGCTGCTGCTGCATCTGCAGCATCTGTTGCTGCTGCTGCACCTCGAGCGGGAGGAGCTGGGGCTGGGGCGGGGCCTGCGTCATGGCAGGCGCGGGCGCGGGCGCGGGCGCGGAGGCGGGGAGCGGGGGAGGGTTCTGGTTCTGGTTCTGGGCCTTGGGCGGCGGCGGCGGGAGCGGCTGGAGGCGGGGCCCGAAGAAGAGGTCCATCTGGTCGCGGATGTAGGGCGCCTTGTGGGAGAGGTCGACGCCGAGCCGCGCCTGCGCCTGCTGGAGCACGGCGGCGAGCGAGGCCGCCTCCCCGGCGCCGCCGCCGCCGGCCTCGAGCGCGCCCCGGAGGAGCGACTCCACGCAGGCGGCGATCTCCTGGTCCGACACCATGGCCGCCGCGCGAAAAAAACTCAAATCTCGCCCCGCCAAAACCCACCGCGATTCCCCTCCCTCCCTCCCTCTC